CTTGCGCATGATAGGGGTTAACTCGAGTGTGGCAGCCTCTACAGACGCATACCAGACCGTCTATAAACATTTCTGGCTGGGGACTCGGCTCTGATCTGGCTGTGATCGTCGTCCTGCTGCGACGTAAAATAATTCCTGATGTCACTTGGGGGCGGACGTTAAATTGCCTCTTGATCAGCCAGATCATCCGAGTGGAAGGCTCGTCGGCGTACGAGGATAAGTAAGAGTGTTGTGGCTGCCTTGCTTGACGATAACCCGGGGCACAGGGGTGGGACCGGATTGCACACCTTTAGACACGCCTGGCTTCAGATGCTTAGGGACGTGACAACGTGACATTGAGGAGAACAGAGGAAGGGGTAGATTCCAGGTGATAGTTCGAGTCAAATTCCATGCTGTAAACAGACCCAGTCAGTCAACATTATTTTTATTTTTGATTAGTTAGATGAACAGCCATGTGACATCTGACAGACAACAGTAGTTAAGAATATTGTTTATTCCTGATGCTTCCTCTGTTTGAGAACTAATCTTACTAAAAATAGTATTGACGGTAGGAATCTGACTTACTTGTTGACCCCAAATGAGATCTGTTCCAAAATAGCCACCACTAATTAGTTGGTTGTGCACTATGCTGCAGTAGGCATCTTGTATGATCTAGTGTAGACAATGCATAGTGTTGTAGCCTATGCGCGACAGCGAGGACATCGGAGAGGACGACCGCAGGATCTTGCGATCAGCTCGAGGCCCGACAACTCACGTGTCCCTAGGACCGGAGGGTGATGGGGAACTGTTCCGCCAACAGAGGGAGAGGCAGCAGCAAAGGAGAGCTAGAGCAGCCGAGGCCAGCAGGGCATTTCCTAGCGAGGCCGGTGCTACAGCAGCCATGGCTACAACAGTCATGAGCACGTCTGCGCAACAGACTTTCCAAGCCGGTAGTTCAGGTACCGCCGGGTCCACGGTCGTGCAGACCGTGAGTCAGTCCACTGGCTTCATGACAAGCCAGCCCGCGGTGTTGACTCCAGAGGATGTTGCCATCCAGGAGGCAGCCCTGTAGGAGGCACAGCTACAGCAGGCATTAGGACAGATAAAAAGAGAAAAGGAAATGATGATTAGAAGAAGCACCCGGATGCAACAGAGAGGGGCTGACATAGAGGAGTTAGAGACGATGGACCTGACGCATATGGATGATGATGTGAAGGTAGTTAGGAGGGCCCTGCTAGGCGTAATTGAGATGCAAGAGCATCCAACTTCCATCCTTTAGGACATTCAACAAAGCCTAGCCGTGTTGGCAGGCCGTGCTCAGGCAACACCATCTTCAGCAGGGCCTGGTGCCTGGCCCGTGCCATATCCTCCTTTTTCTGTCCAACCGGTGACAGGGGTATCCCCATATGTAGCCCCGTCAACGGTTGCCATAGTTTCCCTAGGCATGCCGCTCTCAGGAGGGGTAACAGCAGGGAGTAGTTTACAGGTTCCTGTACAGACAGTGTTTACTCCAAGTCCGTCTCAGGTTGCAGTCACCACGCAGCCTGCTGTCTCGCAGCCAGTGCAGCCTCAGGGCACACAGCCCCAGCAGCTAGCACAGCAACCTGTTTCACCGGGTCCACAGCCTGGAATGATGCAGGGACCGGGACAGACACAGTGGGTTCCAAAGACGGCCATCGCCGCTCCCAAACCTTTCACAGGGGACAAGAGAGGCGAGGACCTCGACGCATGGTTGAGGGTAGTGTCGGTCTACGTCAGGTGCAAACTCACCTTGCCGCACGAAGAAGTGCTTGTGGCTGCGTCTTACCTCGAGGGTAGTGCAGCGAGATGGTTGAGTGGTCTCGTACAACTTCAAGGATACGGTCATGACTTCCGCGCTTGGGCGACCTCCTAGAAATTGGAGGACTTCCTGAAGATGGTGGAGGAGAGGTGGCATGATCCTCAGGAGGCTCAAAGGGCCACTGACGCGATCCTGACACTGCACACGCAGCAGTTTAAGTCAGTAAGGGAAGCCACCGACGCTGTTGAGCGTTTGATCTGTGTCCCTAGGGTACGCTATGATCCTCAGGTCCTGTTGACTTCGTACCTTAGATATTTTTCACAGCCTCTCAGGAACCAGTTGGCAAAAGAGGCCAGTATCAATATGCACAACTTCCCTTCGTTTAACAAGGTGGCCCTAGATCTGGAAGCAAAGATAGGGCATGGACAGAGGCACCCACTAGGGAAGGGAGAAAGAAGACACTGCCTCCCAACTGGAAAGCTAAAGGTCGCATCATGTTTGTCGACAACGATGGATCAACCATCGAGTTGGACGGCAACTTCCAGGAGGGAGTAGGTGAAGAGGCGGGTGGCGATACTTCAGAGGGTGGAGTAGTCGCCGTCGTAACCCAGCAAAAAGGTAAAGGGACCGGTAGACGCCCTAGGGGATCCCGGTCGAAGAGTCAAACAGACCCCAATGCTCCTCCATGGGAGAAAGCGGGTCTATCTGAGGACGTGTGGAGAGATCGGTGGGCACGGCAAGCTTGTATCAAGTGTGGCCAATATGGTCATAGCATGTACAAGTGCCGCAATAGGAAGGTCACCGAGAAGATCCCACCCACTATGGGGTCGGCGGTAGGATCCTCTCAACCCGTTGGTAGCAACATTGCTAGTTCTTCAGGCAGTGCTCCGGGAAACACGCCGGGCCAGTAGGAATAGTAGTTGTTCCTACTAGGGTCGCGATGGTGGATTCACCATCACCTTCGCGAGAGATGGCCCAAGCTACAGACTCTTCAGTCGTCCCGCAAACACATTCAGACCCATCGACCCTCTATTCAATGAATGTGTTTGAATCCTTAGAGGAGCTAGAACATGAGTGGTCTAGATCAGATCCTCTAGCTTCTTGGACGGCGTTAGTAAAAGCCCCAAAGAGTGAAATGTTTGTCAGCGAGGTATTCATAGGAGGCCGCAAGGCCGGGGCCTATTACGACACTTGCTCGACTAGGAACTTTATTAGCCGCGCGTGCGTTGAGAGGCTGCGCATACAGGGGCAAGTGCAGCGCCTGAGTCGACCTGTGGAGTTGACCTGCGCCAACAAACAGCTCATGGTAGTTAATGACTACCTCCAGGATGTAGAGTGTGTTTTCCCGTACGCGGGAGGGGACTTGAGACATCGTGTCTCGTTCCTAGTGAGTGACGAGCTCTCAATGGACATGCTACTAGGTATGTACTACCTCTCTGTAGCACAGCCCCAGTTTGACTGGGACCAAAAAGTGGTCAAACACACGTTGCTAGGTGGAGGGACCGCCAGATTACATAAGTTCAAAGCTAGTAGTCTGATCGAGTCCTATGGGTGCATGTGTGCGACCACGTTCTATAATTATTATAAGCAAAATCAGGAGGAGGGTATGTACTTAGTTTATGTCTCTACTCCAGGCGAGCCGGTGAAAATGCCGCCAGAGATAGAGGGAGTAGTCGCTAAGTACCCTGATCTATTTGAAGAGCCGACAGGGGTTGTTGAGAGGGAGGTCGTCCATGCGATAGAGATTATCCCAGGATCTAGCATTCCAAAGGGTACGATCTATCGGATGTTTCCAGGCGAGCTTGATGAGCTTCGCCGCCAACTCAAGGAACTCGTAGAGAAGGGCTGGATCCGGCCGAGTGTCTCTCCTTATGGGTCTCCAGTTTTATGCGTGCCTAAGAAGGAGGGAACCCTTAGGATGTGCATTGACTATAGGGGCCTCAATGCCATCACTGTAAAGAGCATAGAACCCCTACCGCGCATCGACGATCTGCTAGATAGAGTGCAAGGGTGCCGATACTTCAGCAAGATAGATCTGAAGTCCGGGTACCATCTGATTGCCATACGGCCCGAGGATCAACACAAAACCGTATTTCAGACCAGGTACGGTCTGTACGAGTTTGTGGTGATGCCTTTTGGCCTTTGCAATGCTCCTGGCACCTTTCATCACGCTATGAATCGGATATCCCATGACTACTTGGATAAGTTTGTCATCGTGTACCTCGATGATATACTTATTTTCAGTAAGACTGTCGAGGAACATGTGGCACATTTGGACAAAGTCCTCGGCCTCCTGCCTCCTGCGACAGCACAAGTTCAAGATCAACGGTGAGAAGTGCGAGTTTGGCTGCACCCGTGTCTTGTACTTGGGTCATGAGATTTTCGCGGAAGGATTGAAGCCCGATGACGCGAAGATGGCCAGCATTCGTGATTGGCCGCGTCCTCAGTCCGTGATTGAGATGAGATCGTTCTTAGGGATGACCGGCTACTATAGGACCTTTGTAAAGAACTATAGCATAGTAGCCGCCCCTTTGACTGATCTAACCCGCCTTGACACCCCGTGGGAGTGGACAAATGAGTGTGAGGCTGCTTTCAGACATCTTAAGCATGCACTGACGCATTATGAAGTCTTGAAACTCCCCAATCCTGACAATCCATTTATAGTAACCACGGATGCTAGCCAATATGGCATTGGCGCCGTGCTTGCGCAACAGGAGGGGTCAAAGTTGAGGCCGGTCGAGTACATGTCCAAGAAAATGCCGTCTCAGAAGTTGGCTAAGTCCACCTATGAGAAAGAACTCTATGCGGTATTCAAGGCGCTGACCCATTGGAGACACTATCTCCTTGGCAGGTTCTTTATCCTCAGGACTGATCATCGGACCTTGAGATGGATGAGAACACAGCCTGTACTTTCCGACGCTCTGAAGCGTTGGATCGAAGTCATTGAGCAGTATGACTTTGACCCTCAGTACATCAAAGGAGAGTACAACAAGGTTGCTGATGCCTTGTCGCGTAGACCTGACTTCTCAGGGGCGCTACTTACTGAGTTCGATCTTACGGACGATGTCACTCGATCCTTGGTGGAAGCCTATTAAGAGGACCAGTTTATGTCAGAGATCATTTGCACGCTCGAGGCGAAAAATAAACAGACTTCAACCGAGTTTGAGTTGGTCAATGGCTTGCTGTTTCTCGAGAAGGAAGGGAATAAACGTTTGTGTGTTCCTAGCAGAGAATCTTTGCGTAGTTTGTTTTTAGGCGAGTGTCATGATGCCACCGGCCATTTTGGGTTTAAGAAAACCGCAGCCAATCTGCTGCAAAGGTTCTGGTGGCCCACGATGTTGAAAGATGCTAAGCTGTATGTGGAAACTTGTCAAGTTTGCCAACGGGACAAGCCCCGTACTCAGGCTCCTCTTGGGCTGCTCAAGCCCCTTCCGATTCCGGAAAGGCCGGGTGAAAGTTTATCCATGGACTTCATGGATACGCTGGTCACCAACAAGAATGGCATGAGACAGATCTTTGTCATCGTGGATAGGTTTAGTAAGTTTGCTAGATTAATAGCTATGCCAGAAACAGCGAAGACCGAGTATGTGATCAGGCTATTTAAAGAGAACTGGGTTAGAGACTTTGGACTGCCGAAGTCTATAGTCAGCGACAGGGACCTCAGGTTCACGAGTGAATTGTGGAAGGCCGCTGCAGCTGAACAAGGAACTCAACTGCAGATGACTTCTGGAAATCATCCAGAAGCTAATGGCCAGGCTGAACAAATGAACCGCGCTGTGCAACACCTGTTGAGGCACTACATCAAGCCCAACCAGGGAGACTGGGACGAAAAGCTTGCTCTAGTCGCCAGTCTTTATAACAATGCTGTACACAGTGCTACCGAGGTGAGTCCTAACAATCTACAACTGACGTTCAAGCCTAGACTGCCCTTAGACTTCCTACTTCCCGACAACCAGCCAACTGCTACACCGGGCACTCTGGAGTTCGCCTATAGATATGAACAGAAGATGCAGGAGGCTGTAGAACACATGCAGAAGGCGCAGGCAGCAATGATAGAGTCTGAGAATAGACACCGCCGCCCTTCTACATTTCAGGTTGGGGACAGAGTCTGGGTCAAGTCTTCAGAACTGGGACTGGAGTTCGGGATATCCCGCAAACTCATGCCTCAGTACTTTGGACCTTGGGAAGTTCTAGACGTAGTAGGGACAGATCCTGATGGCCCATCATATGTCATCCGTATCCCTGGTCATCTCAGAACTCACCCTGTCTTTCACGCCTCTAAGCTCGCTGCGTCCAAGGAAACTGATCAGTTTCCCTCCCGTCGGTCAATGCTGCCCCCAACCATGGACGGAGAAGTCGACATCGATGATATCGTCGACCACAGGGAGATGCCCGTTCACAAGCCTCTAGGAAGGGGGGACGTCCTCCAAAGCCAAAGCTGCAGTTTCGTGTCCACTTCAGACATCACATTGATCCGAAAGAGGACCGCTGGTTTACTCGAGAGGAATTGATGCAGACCGCTCCTCAAATCGTTGCCCGATATGAGAAGGATGTATTGAAGGGAAAGCGCTAGATGGCTCAAGATTGATCTTCCCAGAGGACTGACGAAGATATGGAGGAGGGAATGCGAGGCTACGCCCGCTTAGCCCCTACGGGGCCCTGTTTGCAGCAAGGTCGGCCGCCCTAAGTAAAGGCAGGCACGACAGGCCCTTCGGGCCTCGTTTTTTAGGGTACCCCGCATTGGGGAAAATTCAGGCAGTTGCGCAGCGCCAGTTGGTTGAATGAACCCAGGCCCTGGGCCGCCTGTGTGAATGTACGAAGAACAGGCCCTGGGCTGGAATCAGGTACCAGGCTGAATACAGGCCGAAAGCAGTTGGGCGCATGCAACCACTTCAGGCCCAAGGCCTGCTTTCCTTGTGACTGGGCCTCAGGCTACCGGGGCCTACTGGAAGCTTCCTGGATTGGACGCAGGCAGGCCACTTCGATATAGGGAAGGGCCTGCCTCTCATTTCGGGATTCGGGTGCTGGCTGCATGCTGCGCGAGCGCTGCTGCGCTATCCGCTGGCTGGCTGGCACTCACGCTCTCACGGGCGAGTAGGGAGAGAGCACGCAGCCATAGCCAAGCTGCGCTGCTGTATGCTGGGTGAAGCGCAGGGTGGTCCTTGGGTGCTAGTGGCATCTGTGCGGTGTGGATCGGGGTTGTGAGTGTTGCGAGAGACATACCGGGTGCTGAAGCGTGCGACATTGGTCGCCATATGCTCGTACTTTGGGAACGCTATTGATGTCATCATTCTGCTCCGTAGTATAGGCTAGATAGGATCTGCCACATGTAGTCTGGGCGCCGAGCGCCAATAGGATATCAACTCTGGTTCTTAGTTGATGATGATGGGACTACAGCATTGTCAATTTTGAACTCTTGGTGTGTTCTTATTTGGTGTATCTCGTGATGCAAGTGTGTTGTGGTTCGAGGTCAAGACTATCTGGGCTAATATGTATGATGCCGTTTGATTGCTTAAGTTCGCTAATGCTCATCTTCCTTGCACTTTGATTGATTGATTGATTGATTGGTGGGGG